TTAAGAGGGGACATAAGACATGCAACTTCAAGGTCACCGCCTCACAAGGAAACTGCTCACCCACACACTGGAATGCAGAGTGTAAGTCGTTTTCGGCAAGTCAGAAGAAAAGACACCTTACACAAGAACCAAGGCAGGGGACGCGAAGCAGAGCCACCTACCGGACTGTTCTGGGAGGGAAAAGAAATCTTGCAGCTTCCTCAGGCCATTGCTATATTCGTAGTGTTAAGCCGAGTGAATTTCTTTATTCTTTTCCATATTGTTTCTCAAAGATAAACTCAATCATAACATTATATTTTCCTAGTGGCAAGTTGCACACCATTTTTTTCTACTCTCTTCCTTAAACTCTGTTTTTTCTGAGGAAAGTAAATAACTTATATTGAGTAGAAAAGAAACTTAAGTTCACCTGTGAAATGTTGAAGATCTACTAGCTTACTATGGTTGAGATATAAAATTCACTTCAAAGTCTCATGCATTTGGAAGATGAATGGATTGCAGGGCCCAGACCAGAAGAGGGGGAGCACGGAGCGAGGGCCTGGAAGAGTTCATCTCCCTACTCGCCCCCTTCCTTCTGTCTTGCTTCCTGTCTGCATGAGGCAGGCAGCTCTCCTCTGCCAGAATCCTCCACCATACTGCTTCTTCTGAGGGCTAGTCAACCACGCAAGGCTGAGACTTCTAACACATGAACTAGAGTAAACCTCCCCTGCTTTCAGTTGTGGTTGTTGGGTATTTTGCTTCTCTGTGACCTCTAAAACAGGTCTGGGATATTATAATCAGATCAGAAGTATTAGCCGGGGATTTAGCTCAGCAGCATAAGCACCTGCCTGGCAAGTGCGCAGTTGTGAGTTCGATCCCTGGTGCTTAAAAAAAAAAAAAAAAAGAAGTATCTGCCTTTGGAAAACTTATAATTTAATAGGCTGTGTCTCTGTGTGTGCAAACATATATACACGCATGTGCATGTACATGGCCAAAGATTCCCAATCTGTATGGAAGTCAAATGCAAAGAAACGTCTATTAATATAAAAAAGAAAGTCACTCTGAGAAAGAAGAAAAAATGAGTTTCAGGAATTCAATTCAATTAACATTAAACACCTAGGCTAAGCACACACCACACTTGATTGGTTCTGAGAAATCAAAAGCTAGTAAGACACATTCTGTTCTCTGCTCTCAAAATTTGTAGAAGAGAATGACAAAAAGGTAACAAAAACATCATTAATATGAAGTAAAAATTATACAAAAGAAATCTGTGCAAGACAGGGAAAGAGGGAATGATATACAACTGCAACTCAAGAAGGTGCCAAGAAAGGCATCCTAGGGATACAGGAACTGCACAAGAAGACAGGGTGTTACGGCTTGTGTCTAGCTGTCCCCCAAAGCCTCAGGCAGTCACAGGGAGGGCTACTTCAGAGGCGCTGGATCTAGAGTGTGTGATGCTAGGATTAAGTGTGGTTACTAAACTGGTCCACTGATTGGTCTGCCACAGCTCTGAGTGTGGATAATGGGAAGGCTGTATGTGAGTGCTACCCGCCCTGAAGCGCACAGCCTGGATACAACACACAGGAAAGAAAGAGGGCTGCAGTGGTCTTTCTGCTTGCTTCCTACTACTTCACTGCTTTGCTGCCCCCCTGCCCTCTGCCTGGCATGAACTGTCCCTCCTCTGCCATGCTGCCTACCTTGGAGCCAGTCAACTGCAGACTGAAAATCCCGATAGTGCAGTGCAGTTTCTGCAGTGCCTTATAACTTGAAATCCCATAAATAAACAATTTGTAAGCTTTAAATTATGCACCATTGTGAGCCGTTTGATGAAATATTGTGCTGCCTCACTCTGACCTACTTAAGCCGTGACTCATCCTTTTGTCCAGCTTGTCCTCGTTGACATGTTACCTGACGGTTACCCACTCAGCAGTGAGCTCGGTGTTCAGACTGACTTTTGAGCTGCTGGAATATTTGGGGGCAAGTAAACCTTACTTCACTTACTAATGTTCTAAAGCATCACAGAAACAGTGCTAACAATTTTAATATATATATATATATATATATATATAAAATTATTATAGTCTATTTTATTATTTACTGTTATTAATCTCTTACTGTGCCCAATTTAAAAATTAAATTTTAGCACAAATAAAAAACAGAATATATTTTGTTTGGTACTATCTATAGTTTTTGAGGGTCTTGGAACATATCCCCATAGGAAAAGAAGCTACAGTATACAAAAGTGGATCTTTCTTCATTTCAAACCTCCAGCATTATTTAGAACTTTAGATTCAGTTCATGCCTATTTTAAGCGTCATTAAAATGTACCTGTGCAAGTAGATTTTTCATCTCCATAATCCTTCTAGGATATTACATTATAAATCATATCGAAAGTTCCATTAATGACATCCAATTAAAAAGCAGATTAAGAGACTCATAAGGAAAGCACCTCTAAGATTAATGAAAACGTTATTTCAACATCAAAACTGCCTTAGAACTTCTTACCAAAATTTTGAACATTAATTATTTCTGCTATTTTAAGCCATGCCTTTAAAAAGTTATTTCTCCTACTTATTAAGATGACAAAATCAAAATAGTACTATAAAATTATGACTCTTAAAACTTATGCACTATACATTTATATATACACACACACACACACTTTACGCAGAATACTTTGAGCATTACGAATTATCTACAGCATTTTCTTTTTTTTGTACATATGTGTCATAGATACAGATCACAGTCATCACAGGAAATCTCCCCTGCATGTAAGAGATCTTAATTCTTCTTCCCCCACTCCCCTCACCGCCCCTCAACCCATCCTCTCCTCCCATTTCCAAAAGCTTTCCTTCCATCTTTTTCCTTCCATTCTCTTTTTTTCTCTTCTTTCCCTTCCTCCCCCTCTCCCTTGTTTCCCTTCTCATGGGAACATTTTCTTCCTACTTCTTAATATCTATCACACATTTTGGTCCTTATTTGCACCTTTGGTTTCTCACATACAAGAGAAACAACATGATATTTAAACATACTTTTTGATCTATTTCACTTAAAAGTATAGTGTCAAGTGCATCCATCTAACCTAAAAATGTCTCAATTTTATCCTTCTTTACCGAAGAGTAATACTTCATTGTATATAAAAACTGCATATTCTTTATTCATTCATTGACAGACATCTTGGCTATTTCCAAGATTTGGCTATTAGAAATTGTGCTGCTATAAACACATGGCTGCACATGTATCGCTGTGGTAGGATGCTTTTTAACTCTTTCAGGAGGAAGAGGAATAGCTGGATTAAAGAAACTCCTATGTTTAGTTTTGTAAGGAATCTCCACACCAATTTCCAAGGTGGTCGCACCAGTCTACACTCCCACCAACGGAGGAGAAGAGTTCCTTTTTTCCTACAACAGTTTTGGAAGTATGGTCATTTTTACTATATTAGTTTTGCATATTCAAAAACAGAAGATATCTTCCATTTTCTGATATCTTCTTCAATCTGCTTTTTCAGTGTGCCATAGTTTTCAATGTAGAGGTTTTTAACTTCCTTTGTTACACTGATTCCTAAATATTTTGTTTTTCTTAATGCTACTGTGAAAGGTGTAGTTTCCCAAATTTCTATCTCACTGAGTTTGTTATTCATTTACAAGCATGCTATTGATTTTTGAGACTTTATTTTGTATCCTGCTATTCTTGCTGAATCTGGTTATTAATTCTAGGAGTCTTAATTCTTGGGTCTTCTACGTAGAGTATCATATCATCAGCAAATGATAATACAATTTCTTCCTTTCCTATCCATATTCCTTTTCTTTTTTTTTTTTTTTTTTTTTTTTTTTTTTGTCGAATTGCTGTAGGTAATGTTTCCAGAACTATATTTAATAGAAGTAGTAATAGTGGCCATACTAGTCTTGTTCCTGATCTTAGAGTGAAAGCTTTCAATTTTTGACTATTTGATAAGATGTTGGCAATTGGTCTGTTATAGATGGCATTTATCAGATTGAGATAAAGACAGTTTATTCCAATTCCCTATAGAGTTTTTATCATGAACGAGTATTCAACTTTGTCAAATGCCTTTTCTGCATCTATTGAAATGATCATGTGTTTTTTGTCCTTGATTCTAATGATGTGGTATATTACATTTATTGATTTGGGTTTACTGAATGATCCCTGCATCACTGGGATAAAATCTACTTGGTCATAGTGTAAAATCTTCTTGATGATTTGCTGCATTCTGTTTGCCAGTAACTTATTGAGAGTTTTTCCATCTGTGTTCACTAGGGAAACTGGCATATAGTTCTTTTTTTCGGCTGGCTATTTCTCTGGTTTTGATATCAGGGTTATGCTTGCTACCAGGAATTACTTTGGGAGTATTACTTCCCTTTCAATTTCATTAAAGAATTTGACAAATAGGAGCATTAGATCTTCTCTAAATATCTTATAGAATTCAGCAGTGAACTCATCAGGAGCTGAGCTTTTTTTTGTTGGTAGTTTTTTAATTATTTCTTCAATTTCATTAACTGATATTGGGTTGTTTAGAATTTTTATATCTTCTTGGTTCAACTTCAGTAATTCATATGTATCTAGGAATTTATCTATTGTCTGAGTTTTCTTACTTAGTAGAGTACAGGTTCTTAAAAGTGTGTACTGATGACCTTCTGGATTTCTGTAGGATTCACTGTGATTTCACCCTAACTGCATGGATTTGGATCTTGTTTCTCCTTTTTTTGAGGAGGCTGGCTAAGGGTTTGTCAATTATATTTAATCTTTCAAAGAAGCAACTCTTGATTCATTGGCTCTGTTTCAATGACTGTTTCTTATCCTCAATTGCATTGATTTCTGTTCTGATCTTTATAATCTCCTTGCTTACATATGCTTTGTAACCACAGCATTTTCAGCAACAGCCAGTATTAAATAGTAATGAGTCAAAATAGTTTCATCTAAATAAAACTACAGACTCAATGCTGGGGGAAACATAATCATATTAAGAAAATCATAATTAGCAGGCACTCTGAGCCACGTCTACGTACCTGTGTAAGATTTGCAGCCTCCTCTAAAATTCTTTTTTTCAGTTGCTCTGCTCTCTTGGCATGGAAAGAATTGCTTTGACTCTGGATAACAAATACAACTTCTTTCAAATCTAGAACAAAAAAAAAGTTTTCAGGTTTTTCTTTCGTTAACAATAATTGAAATAAATTTGAAAACAAGTTAAAAAAAAAAAAACGACAAGTCAGGCAGCAAACTCTTGGGGGTATCTATTTGTATCTAATTCTAGAGACAAAACTCTTTTTAAACTGATTTCCAAAACATTCTTCCTAGAAGTTAGCAAGTAAATAAGCTCACTGTACTAGACCAAGCCTATGGTAACAAACTGTGAATGTGCTCCTGCATCTGTCAAAAAGAATGTGTGAAAGTATGGAACGTCTAGAACACCAGTCTCCTGAGTGACTGACAATCAGATGTTTACAAGAAGCCTTCCAACACATTTCTCGTAATCCTACCCTGTGCTGCAATCTGTTACGATACTAAGCGTGTCCCCAAAACACATACAAAGTCCTAAGCCTCAGTATTTCAGAAAGTGATCTTCTTCGGAATTGGGTCTTCACAGAAGTCACCAAGTTAAAATAAGGCCATCAGGGGGAACCTAATCCTCTATGACTGACAGCCTTACAAGGGGAAAATTTACAAAGAACACACTTATGCACAGAGGGAAGATGCGTGAAAACAGATGAAGATGGTCACTGACAAACCAAGGAGATGCCTGGAACAGATGTTCCTCCATGGCCCCTCGCAGTCCTCAGAAGGAAACCACTCTGCCAACACCCTGATCTCAGACTTTAGCCTCCAGAATTCACACAATTTCTTTTTTAGACTGCCTGTATTAGTCAGCTTTCGGTTACTGTGATCAAATGCTCAAGATAATCAACTAGAAATAAGAAAGACTTACTTTGGTTCACAGTTATGGAGGCTCCAGTGCAGTCACTTGGCCCTGATGCTTTGGGCCTGAGCAGAAGAGTACATCACTGCGAGAATGTGTGGCAAAGAAGTTCTGTTCACCCCTGGGATCAGGAAACAAAGCGAGGACACCCCAACATCCTCTCCATAAACACAGCCACAGTGCACTAACTTTCTTGTACTAGGCCTCACCTCTTACAAGTTCCACCACCTCCCAACACTGTCACGTGCTGGGGACCAAGTCTTTACCCCAACCCTACCAATCCAATATGCTATTTTAAGAATGCTCTGCATGGCCCTGCAGTGACACTTAACAATGACTGTGTATGTCCACTGAGTCAACAAGGATTTGCAAATAAGCAACTTAATAATCCCTTTAGTACCTTGAAACACACCTAGCCAGAATTAAGTGTTATCTCCAGGAAACCACCAGCAACAATTCCACACAGTAGGCTACTAGTCAGAGGTGCTGTACAAAGCCCAGCTACAACACGCAGATGGTATTTGCCAGTCCATGAAGGACCAGCCTCAAGGCACGCAGCCTTTTGCAGTAGTGAGCCAGGAAGAAATCCTAGTATGTCATTCCCACCTGGCTGGGGAAGACCCCTAGAAATCCTGCCAAGACGGGCAGTTGCGCAGGCTACACACCAAACAAGCACATTTAGTCTTCTTCGGTTTCAAATTTGTAATAAAGAAACAGAAAAAGCCACGATGGCAGCACTGTGCCACTAGACAAGGGTGTAGGCAGAAAAGGGATGTCACATAAATTTTAATAACCATATTTATAGCAGATATTGGACCTTCCCCTACCCCTCAAGTGTTTTTCTAGCATTTCAGCTCAGAGACACTAATTAGATTTTTAACTGTATTTCATTATATTTTATTGTTCTTATGTTATTATATAGTTCCATCTTTTACCCACTCGCTCAAACATTCTAAACAGATAGCTCCACAGTGAGCCATCTAGATCTGAAAATAATTCAAAATGTTCTTTTATTAAAACTCAATACAAAATATAAAAGAGAATGCTGAATAACCTACTGAATTTGACCTAATTTCTTTTCTTTAGGAGCTTGTATAAATAGGAATACTGTGTATATCCACATCTATTTTAAACAGCTTCTTGGCTCTCTCTCTGTTCACTGAGGGCATACATATCATAATATAAAAGGAGTCTTAAAAATAAATAAATAAATGGTGTCTTATATTTCAGCTGATATATTCGATCCAAAACATCTGAAATATTAATATAAACTGACATATCAAAAGAGAAGTTACAAAAATTTCTTTTGTTCAGAAAGGAGCAAATCTTCAGGGATTACATTTTTCAAAATTTAATAAAGGTGAAGATGCATATTCTCAATGATCCAGAAATTTTACTCCTATTAATCATCGTTGAGAAACCCTCATACTGTATATGAGGATGTATAATAACAAAAGTGCCCATAGTGACATTATGTAAAGAAAAAAATGGAAGCAAGTCAAATATATACTAATTAGATACATAAACCACAATATTCTACAGCAATAAAAACTAGCATTACATATGCTAATTAACTGCATATAAAATTAATTAAGAGAGATTCAACACGGCTGATTAGAGTCACACAAGATACTCTGAAAAGATTCACTGAATACACAGGTATTATGAAATTGGGAGAAATACTCACACCCTGAAACCAAAATTAATATGAAAGACGATACAAATGGATAAAACAAAATGTGTTGAAAAGGGGAAGTGGTACCACCACTGCTGATCCACCCTCACACCTTTCAAGGAGCAGCCAGGATGAGCATCCCAGGCAGCCTGAAGGAATGAACTACCACAGCGGGCCAGACTCCTGGAGCAGCCTATGCACAAAGTGGGAGAATCTGAGTTATCAAGAAATCCTCAGCAGGGCTGGGGATTTAGGTCAGCAGCATAAACACCTGCTCAGCAAGCATAAGTCATGAGTTTGATCCCTATTACCAAAAAAAAAAAAAAAAAAAAAAAAAAAAAAAAATCCTCAACAGTGACCACCCTTACATCACAGGGGAAACAGTCCCTAAATGAAGCCCAGGGACTATGTCAGATTTTGCTGGCTGGAAAGGAGAAATTTTGAAACAGTCAGTTAAGGACTTCAGCACAAAAGATAGCACAGGTTTGAATCAGAGACTTCCTGGCAACCAACCAGTCGTCAAATATCTGAGCAAGAACACCAACCTGCTCAGCCCAGAGGAAGGCAAGAGTCGTGGGGCACCAACAGGTGAAGGGAAGCTCGAGGTGAGAAACATTACTTCACATCCTCTCCTCTCAAATGAGTTGAGGTAGTTGGATCATGAGCCAGAGACAAAAGACGAAGGTATCTCTGCCCGAAGCACAGGGACCGAGAGACTGACGCCCCTCATCACAGGCTGCAGACAGCCGCAGAGAGAGGGAACTGGGGAAGCCGCCTGCAGACAGAGTGGCCAGGGCAGCAGGACCTGCGTGGCCGCTCGGGCTTTCGGGCATAGTGGTCACGTGGGAAGTGCGTGCACTTTCTCTTACTGGAGTGTTAGAGCTAGGTTCCTGCAAAATCTTGTTCTTTGTTTGTTTTTGTTTTTCCCTTTCTTCCCTCCCTTTCTTGTTTTGAGGTAGTTATTCTCTGTCTCTGTTCTGCCTGTTCCTTTCCTTCAATTCTGTCTTCTGCATCAACACTATTTTATAGCTTCTGCCTGTTTCTTCCACTTTTTAACTCCTTTCCAGTAGCTTTGTCCTACTTTGCTCTCCGTCATTCCTGTCTTCTTCTGTACTAACTTTTTGCTCTCCCTGTTCCATTCTTTCTGTCGTCCTTATTTCACTGTCTCCTTGTCTTCCCTTGCCTCTCCTCCACAGCCTTCCTCAATACCACAGACTGCCGCCTTCTCCCATGCTCTGCCCCTGCACACACAAACACATGCACATACATGCAAATGCACATGGATGTACATACAAGAGGACATGGGAAAACAGGCAGCACAGGTCTCCAAGGTCTCCCCACTCTCCCAAAGCAGACCTAGAGCACCAACGGAGAGGAAGGCCAGCACTACAAAGCAGAGCTTTACAAACTTATTAAAGAAGAGGTAAGGAAACTTGGCAAGTTAAAAAAAGACATGACCCAAAAATTCCTGGAGCCATCATACAAACTGACCAGGGTGGATAAGGGAGAAACAAAAAATTGGAAGAGCAGACTAAAATCATTCAAAACATGAATGACAAGTTTACCAAAGCCATAGATTCCATGAAAAGATATTAGACAGAAATATTGGAAAAAAATCATATAGAATTCATAAACTAAGAAATAAGCAACGTGAAGAGTTTATGGAATCAAGAACAACATGGTAAACAATGATGAAGTCTTAAAAACAAGGAAGATCATTTACCAGCTGCTGCACCACACCGAAAAGACCAACCTAAGGCCAACTGGAGTTAGAGAAAAACTACAAGACAATATACACGGAATAAAAAATATCTGTTCATTCAAAATCATCATAGAAAACTTTATGAGGAAAGACTACAACATACAGGTTAGAGAGGTTTACAGAATACCACCTAACTATGATGATATAAGTAGTTCTACACAGTGCGACTTAGTCAAAATGTCGGATTTCCAACAAAAACAAAATTGTAAAAGGTGTCATAGAAAAGCAAAAAATCACATATAAAGGCAAACTATTTAGGATTACAAGACTTCTTGACACAAATTTTAAAGGGACAGAATGGCCTGGACTGAAGTATTCAAGCCTTAGAGAAAACAACCCAAATTGAAATATCCTACAAAACTCTTTCAAAATAGATGGAGCAATAAGAACACTCCAAGAAAAATAACACCTTAAGAGACACGTGAACACCAAATCAGCATTCTTAAATATACTCAAAAATGAAGCACTGACAGAGACACCAAGTATAGACAGAATGAATAGATCAAGCAAGCAAACAGACAAATAAGAAAAGGAATAGTAAAGAAATCATCAGTAGAAAAAGAATTCAATGACAGGATTGAATCAGCAACTTTTAGTAACAACTCAATATTCACAGCCTTAACTCTGCAATGAAAAGAAACAGATTGACAGATCATATCAAAAAGCAGGATCCAAATGTTTATCGCATTGAAAAAACTGAAGTAGTCCAAAAAGGTAGTCACACACTAAATCCAAGAATGGAGCTGGGCACAATAGTGCGTACCT